CTGTCGTGACGGGGACTTTGGGTTTAGGCTCCTTTTGACTCCAGGTTCATGAATCCTTTCTAAAGCTAAGAAGTGACGCCGTGTCAACCTAGGCGTGGGCCGATGATTGTCGCTGAAAACGCCTGGAGGGTAGGCAATGCTTTCCTGGATCGGATCCCCGCCCTGTGGCCCCTGTCCCTCCGAGCGCTTGGATAAGGCGAGAGCTTCGAAGAGGCATTGATATCTTTTGTTTTCGCTTTAGTTCTTAGCGCAGTTTACTTCTGGTTGATATTCTAGCATTGGCGGAAGTAACGAATTCGTCTATAGACGGTTCAGTTTAAGCTGACCCGGGCACTGTCGGCTGTAGCTACAATCGTGTAGCTAAAAAACAGGGTCGTCCCTGGTGCCTGGCACCTTGCTGTTGGCGGGTGTATAATAAAACCCAGAATCTGGCTTTAAACGAGATCCATCACCTGTCACGTCAACCGTCTCACAAACCCCGGGGTGTATGTTCTGACCACTGTGGAAGGAAGCACCTCCGATTGGTTTGTCTGACTCCCTCCATCAGGACTGCTTGATCGACCAGTTCATTTTACTTTTATTTGGTGGTGTTTTAAACACGTTTATAATCGGTTGTTTGATTACATTTTATTGTAATTATTTCATTTTTTCTACATGCACAGTAGTATTATGTACAACAGTGAACTAACCCACATTTTATACACATCTTTTTACATATGGCGATATTGCATAGATTTATGTCATTTAGTAATATTAGAGAAAGTAGAATTTTAAAGGTGATTAATAGCTTTTTTCTTTTTATCCTTGTTGTATCCTAGCCCTTTATTCTCATTATTGTCTTGCAAAATGCACCCACACATCTTTGGTAAAACATTTTAGCATGGCTTCATCTCAAATTTACAAGACACATTAAATCTGCCAATACACTTCAGAAAAAGCCATGATAGGGTGAAACAAAAATATTCTCAAAAAGGTTTTGCATAGGTGCCAGGCAAGAGCCTGCTTGACTAGCCAATTGGGAATTGAACATTAAAAATAAATAATGGCATACTAATCTAGGAGAAATTAATGTACTTTTCATCACATTATCTCATTAAAAAAATACGTCACTGCCTCTAAAAAAAATACATTGTTTCTATGCAGATCAACTGCTAAAAGGGATAGTTCTCATCACTGCAGAAGATTTTCTCACTGAACTGGGAAGAGAGAATTAACGAATCAAGGCATAAACAATTGCAAGTATTCAACTTGCAGTTGCATACTTACAGGAGTTTACCAGTTGAACATTGGGTTATCGGTGTAGAAGGGATCCATGACACAGAATCAACATCTGTACGTACATGAGTTTCATAACTTGACATTCCAAAATAATTTAACCATTCCAGAAAATCAATAAAAACGCTATAATTACTGTTTCACAGGTAACTTTTAGATTAAAGAACTATAATATAAACAAATTGTACAAACATACTACACAAAAGATGCCATTCTGATTTTGTCATATTACTATTCTATAGGGATACATGTTACCCATGCAAAATCAATTTGGATGTGTAATGCATGCTAAACAAATAGACAAGAAAATTGCCCATTTGATGCACAAATTCCTGAGATTTAATCCTATTCAGACAAACATCGCACAAAAACACACTCTAAGTTGAAGGGAATTTTAAATGCAGAAAGGCACAACAAAGATTGGCTCAAACCAATTTTTCATAACCATTGCTCCCCACAGAGTTTGATTGTTGATTACATTGTAGGAGCAAGGATGAATTGAAAGACTTATCGCCAGGATACTGTGGAAGCACTACCAGAACTTAATCTGACACTAATTTCAATCATCGTTTCTACTTTGCATAGAAAGGACTTAATGTTTTAACTTTTTAGGAATCTCTGAGAAGTTTAATTTATTTTATTTAGAATAATGGTGATAATGGTTAGCCTATTGTTTGGCAAACATAACATGATATATCATACAATGGCACATTTTCTCATTTAGGGCACAAGAAACAAAAATGAAAAAAGCCAAAAAAAAACAAAAAAACAAAGGGAAACAGAAGTTAAGTTTAGGGAAATATCAGTCTGAAATCATAGGACTAAATCAGTCAAGAATCTTAGAGTTCAAATTGTTTTTCGGAGGCAAGTTGTGGCTATAAATTAGCATTCCTATATGATCTTGTAAGTGATTGTCGTCCTTCCCAACACAGCATAATATCATTTACATAACAATTACATTGTTTTTACTTACATTGATTGGTGGTTTTTGTTTTACAACTGGATTTTCTTTACAGAGAGCCTGATAAATGTATTAAATCGGATGTTGATAATAAAAATAATATGGTGAAAGCATCTAAGAGAACTGTATCAATTATCAGTACAAACCTTGTTTCAAGGTTTGTGTTGAAATACCTCCAAGCAATTGCAAAATATGTTAAGCCCAAAATGATTCATGAACATGGTTAACAAGCCTGCTTTCCTTAAACCTGTTCCCTCGCTCTCTTATAAAATTAATGGAGACAATGGCATTGCAATAGCTGATCATTAAAAAATATTGACCTTACACTATGCTCTTTGAAAGCAATGGAAACAAAAATCCCGCATACAACAGGTTCTATAAAACCTCAACAATTTCCAGCATTGCTAGTACACTGACATACAAACAAGAAAACATGAACAACAAAGAGCTGTAAAATATACATTCAACACAGAATTGAGATCACAGTAGTTTAACTAAGAAAACAAACATTCAATATGAATGCCAGCCACTAAACTGATAAACAGCCACACAATGCCTAGCGGACACACTTCTGCCCGCACTGGCCACACTGTCCAGCCGAACGAGACAGAAGCTAATAGACAGGGGACAGGTTGAGGGTGAGATTCCTGATAGCATTGCTCCTTGTTGTGCGCGAAGACTTGATGATCTGCAGGACCATGGCCTTGCAGTCCAGACACACGATCATCTGGATCCCCTTGAGTCGCTCCTTCTCTGGCCGGCCCAAAGTTTTGGACCTGTTGAACTTTGCCCTGTAAAAGAAAAAAGAATACGTACATGTATTTTAAGCTCAGTTTACGCTCTTGTATTATTGATATGAAAGATGATATGAAAGACAAAAGGGAGAATCGAAAATGGATTGTCTCAGATACATAATTTTGTTGAATCATTGATTTCAAAACGCCACATCTGGGTCTTGTGTTTGTTATCAGTTGGGTCTAGTCTTGAGGTTTCAATTTTCCAGAAAAGTATTTTGGGGAACTTTTTGAATACTTTTTATTAATGTCTGAATCTCTTTTCCTAAAAGAGTTTCTTTCATTTCTTTGTATGAAAACAGCTCAAGTTTGTTTTTTTTTCCTAAAAGAAGGTTCCAAATTCCCTTTGTTTTTGAAATTTTTTGGACTTGTAAAGTTTTTCCTAGTCGGTTTGCTCACCTCCGGTCGCTGGTGGTGGAGTCGGGGCTGAGGGTGGGGAGGGAGACGGGCCCCTCGGTGCTGTCTGCCATGGACTCGGCCGTGGACTCGGCCGCGGAGCCCGGGCCCGAGTTGGGCTGCGAGGCGGTGGCTGGCGAGTGGCCCGCCGTCACTGGGGCCGTGGTCGCGGCCGCCGCCGTGTCGGCGCGCGCCAGCTTGGGGCTGGACGGCGCGCTGCCCACCGAGTTGAGGCCGTGCTTGAGGCTGCGCGGCGAGTCCGTCTGCAGCAGGCGGTTCATGAGCGTGCGCGAGAAGGTGGCCGCGTCGTGCGACTTGGGGTCCGGCGCGTCCTCGGGCGAGGCGAGCTGCGACGGGCTGATGGCCACCACGGGCACGTGCGAGAAGTGCTCCGTCGGGATGCGCATCTGCGAGATATAGGAATTAGTCGTAAGTATGCAACAAAACTTAGCTAACTCGCCAAAAATGAGCTAACTAGCTAAAATAGCTAGCTCGCCAAAAATTAGCTAACTAGCTGAAATAGCTAGCTGGCCAAAAATTAGCTAACTAGCTAAAACTAGCTAACTTGCAAAAAAATGGGTAGCTGACCAGAAATTAGCTACCTAGCAAAAAATTTGGCAAAATAGCTAAAATTAGCTAACTAGCAAAAAATCAGCAAACGGACTAGAAATCAGTCTTAAATTTTAGTTGTTTAGCTAAATAATTCTAATCCACGTGTATCACACGCGTGCAGTGCACCCACCTTGGAGTGGCACTTGGAGCACACCACCCGATTGCATAGGCGGCACTGCTGCCCCCGCGGCCCGAAGAAGCCGAACCTCGTCTTCATGCACAGGAAGCAGACCTGGGGACAAGAAGAAGTAGCCGCGTGAGCACGCCGTCGACAAGGTCCCGCCGCCATGCCACCCCCGCCGCGCCGCGCCTCCTCACCTTCCCTCTCTCGGCGTCCTCCTTGACGCGTCCCTCCACGGGCAGGCTCTCCAGTTCCGCTTTGGTGAGGACGCTCCGGATGTGGACGATCTCCTCCAGGGTCAGCGACAGGCACTCGTGCTGCCACTGTTTCTGCAGGAGGCAAACCGTGACTCATCAGGACACACACGCAATATTTCGACCAATAAAATTGAAGCAAATATTTTTTTTAAGAACAGTAAAAAAAAAAATGAACATAATTAAATTTTCGAACAAAAGTTTGACATTCTTTTCGAAAAAAAATGAACAAAAAATTTTGAACAAATTTTTGAACTTTTTTTTCTGGAAAAATACAAATTTGAAGAAAACATTTTTTTTTTGGAACAAAATTAGTAATTACCGAGTGGAAAAGGTCCTCTTGCAGCGAGTTCCGAGACCACGAGAGCTCGGGCAGCTGCAGGCCGAGGGTGTTGGTGGTGGTGGCGAGGTCACACGCGTCCGCCAGGGGGGTCTCCGCCTCGAGGGGCAGCTTGACGACGGTGGGGGTGACGCCCGGGGCGCCCGGCACCGGCTCGCAGATCATGATGGTGTGCCTCCGCATGGAACGCCGGCTGGGGCACTGCGTCGCCAGGTCGTAGGCTGGGCAACACAGAACGCCGTTAGATGGACACGTAAACAACACAAAAAAATAGTTTAAATAGATAAAGAAAAGACTAAAAGCACTACGACAAAAAATGTGTCTGCGTTTTGTCAAGAAGGCACACTTTAAAAAAATCTTTTACACCTCGCAGTGAAAAAGATTTAAAAATAATTGGACGACCTCATCCTCTTTTTCAGCGACCGTTTGCTCTCTTAAATTAAAGTCAACTTACAACTTATCTTGGGCAATCCAGGCTCCTCAGAGTAACGGCCGGTGCCTCTCAAGGGGTTCAACAACATTCGTCAGGATCTTACTCTAACTCTGAAGCGCTCTAGAGCGCGGGGACTGGCTAGCGGTAGACAGGGAAGGGCGCATTTGTACCGCGGTGCATCGAATGGCAACCCCCACCAACAGAGGAGAGATAGAAAGAGTATGTGGCAGTAAAGGTTCGATTGAGGCTTTCTTTGCTTGCGGAGAGGGTGCGAGAATGACGGGAGGATTAGAATATGAGAGAGAGAGTTGTAAAGAGACGGAGAGTGACGAATGTTTTGCGAAGAAAGAATAGAGATGGCCGTGTGAGAGAGAGAATCATAGTGCGTAGGGATATATCTCTTATGAAAATCCAAAACCATGTGCCAATCAAAAAGATAGACTCGACAGCAAAAAAAAAAAAACAAACAATGAAAATCACAGCGTCTGAAACGCGTTACAGACATTGTAAAAAATACGAAAATATATGATTAAAACATCACACAGAGTCGATCAAAATGAAATGAAAACACTTGATGTTAAGAGAAAAAAAACATGCAGAAAGGTGAGAAAAATATGCAAAAACGAATAAGCTACATGCTGACATTAGCACGTGCAACTCTCCTCTTTGACCTTTTTAGTTTTTCTCTCAAATCTATATATAAAAATGAGTAGAAAAGAAGGGTTGCACACGTGCCAAGCATAGAAACGATGCCACACTTTTACAAAAAAGCAGAGCATCTATACTGAGGATGATTTAAGGCCCACATTCACAGCGCATTCCAGCAGCGGCCAAAATGAAGTGCACAGCATTCGCTTAGAGTTGGAAATTTACGAAAATTTCCTGGAAATTTTCCGTTTTTTCAAAACTTTTCCGTTTTCCCCGGAACTTTTCCGTTTTTTCAGGAACCTTTTCCAGAAAATTTCCAGAACTTCCAACCCTACGCTTAATCATAGGGGGCGGATGGGCTGTGAGAGTCTTGGGCGTCGAGCTGAGGGTCCTTCATGGCGACGGGCAGGGACAATCCATCTTGAAATCGGGCGGCGTTTCACTTTGAGGGGGCTTGGAAAAAAATGTTAGGGACAAGATCACGGTCGGAAACAGTCTAAAAAAGAAATAACTCAAACAAAGTAGATTCTTGACTGGGAGTTTTGGTATTTGAATTACAAGGCTCTGCAATCAATTTTTGTATTTAGTTTCTTACATTTTGAATGTTGTGGCACGTACATCTTTACATCGTTCGTGGAGCAAGGGCCCTTTACAGTCCGTAGAAATGGACACCAAACAAAACGTAACAACATGGATTTCTTTCTGTCCCGAAGACATTGTCATTCAGTCTTTGCAAACTACAAATAAATGAAGGTACTTGAGCTTAATATATAAAAATCTTTTCAATCTGGAAGTATTTACAGACAAATACAAAAATCAGAATGTGAATAATCTTATTAAGTAACATTATCACTATCGGTACTTAATCTACCATTTGATTCACGAAAAATGTCAAGGGAATTTACGAACACTTGACAATCAGTACATTCATTACTTAACATTTACAAAGTCTATGAAATTCATGGTTTAAACTGCTTAATTCAGATGGAGACTTGGGTAGATGCAACTACAGAACAAAATTGTAAAAAAAAGTCCCTCAGTGAGAGTAAACAAATGCAAAGCAGCATAAAGTATCAAAATGAAACACAATTCAACAAGTTACAAAAAATCAATCAAATCGTGCACAAAGCCTACTAAAAACGAAAATTAATGATGACCACATAAACATTTCATTCACTTCGCATTCTCGGACAGGCCCAGTCATTTCATGCTCCAAATCACAATTTTCAAAAATAAACACTGATAACATTAGCATTAGTAAATTGTAAGGCACCCTACACGAGCTGCGAAGCACTTGCTCGTATGTCAGCTCAAGAGCTCATAAGGCTAATCCTTTTAAATCGACTAGAAGGCATTTAATAGTATACAGAAAACATAAACAAACATTAACATGCCGCCACCGCGTGGTAAATCGCATGAAATTTATTGATAAATCATTGCTCTATGAGCTATTCAGCTGACACAACAATTCTAGATAATTATCCTTTGGTATAAAACAAGTAACTCCTTCTACGGCGTAAAGTAAAAACTTCACACTTATTTAAAAGCTAGCACGATCGGATGAGCGTATGGCTCAACTACACGTAATCATCAGAGGGAACGTCACTGACAAAAAGTCCGTGAGGTAAAAGCCAACGAGCTCGAAAAATATACAACGGTAATAGTACTGAGGCGATTTTCGAACAAAGAGGATTTTCAAAAGGTTACAGGAAGACCGATAGAGAGGACAGGGAGAAACAGGCGGGAAGGTCAAGACATTTTAATAGGACTCTGCGCGTTCAGAAAGTCGTTCGCCCAAACAAGACGGGGAAGTCCCACTCGATTGGAAGTCAAACTTGGAGAGACGACAGCTATGGAGTTGGAGCCAAAGGGCCTTCTGTGTAATTGAGGTGGTGGGACAAAGATGATGGTTATAGTGATGATGATCATGAATAAAATGAAATATAAAAGGCACTGGGTTTTAAAATAAAAATTGCCTACGCGAGCGCATTCAGCTTCAGCTTGCTTTTGCCACTACTACTGCACGCTACAGGCCGCGCCAGAGCCACTAGGTCGGTTCTTGTTGAGAGGTGGGGGCCTACATTCTAGCGCCGAGTCGCAGTACGAGAGGTAGGCGTCCCTCATGACGCCGCCGACCGCCAGCGGGTCGGGCTGGTCGGCCGCCTCCTCCGCCTCCACCGCCGCCGGCCCCGGGCCGTCCGCGTCCCGGGCGCGCGGGCACGGCCGCGGGCATCCCCGTGCGGCACGCCCACTACCTGTCCGGTGCCAGGGGTTGCTGCGAGGCGCGCTGTCCGCGCCGGCGTCCGCCTCCTCCTCGTCGTCGTGGTCCTCCTCCGGGTCGTCATCCTCTATCTGCAAACAGAAAAGAGAAAAGCAACGTCACAAGGTGAACAGTTCTTTACATTTTAAAATTCACTAAAACACGTTCAAATTATTTTTTTTTTGGCAAATTTAGAGTTTTTCTGAAGAGATTAAGACTATTTAAAACTTTCTGTCAACGTTCACATTTTTCCAATTTTTTCATAGAAAGATTAAGAATTTTCCCCGAAATTTTCCGATTCTTGAATTTTAAGCCCGTGCACTACTGCCACGCCTGACCACGCGGTAGCTTACAAGACCGTCACCCCAACACAATGGAAGGGAAACTTGACCGGACATACGCCGCGTTGCTCCCGCGCGGAGTATCGCCGGTCCGTGTCGGAATCAGAGCATCGGTCGCTCCGGGCGCTCCAGGCCAAGGCAGGCCAAGGCATGCCCAGACCGACCGGCACTGTCAAAAATAGCCTCACACGTTTTAGGGAAAAAAATTCCCACACGAGAAATGTCCGTAGAGTTGCAATATCAAAATTGTAAATTTACATAATTCTTTTGACACTACTTTTGACTTGAAATTCTTCGACGAGCAAAAGAAAAAAAAAGTGTTGCAAATTTGCGATTACCGATCGTAAGTTTACAACATCATTCGTAAATCGCAAAATCACAATAAAAATAAATGAAAATAAACTGTCAATATTTTCTAAGTCGCACGCGACGCGAGCCCTCCTGGAAATCTGCCATGGCGATATGTGCGTGTCCCACTTCGCCTCCCCCGCCTCGCTCCAGCCAGTCTGGCGCCGCCGAGCCCCGCGTTCAGTTATAGAGGGAGCCTTCACTGGAGCGAGGGAGGGAGGGCGGCTCTGGAGATGACATCCGCAGATAGAGCAAAACTGGGCCGGGTTCAGGCGTCACAAGACAGTGCCACAAAATTTGGACATCCAAAGAAGTCTGACAAAATCTATTGTAGCGTGTGTCTGAACCTGTGGCACCTGCTGCGCATCAATGTTGATCACGTGGCGCACCCCCTCAATTATTGAGGCTTTAAAGCCCCCATCCCGGTGGAAAGGGCAAGATACTGCGCAGCAGCAAGTCCATCCGGAATCAACGCCCCCAACCCTCCCGTCCCCGTGCACAACACCCACAGCCCCCCCCAGCAGGGCACGCGCAGGCGCCGTAGGCTCGACCTTGCCCCTTTCTCTCGCCTCCACCGTGGTCCCCACCCACCGCTGCAGCCGCCCCGAGCACACCTCCGCCGGAAAAAAAAACCCCAACAGATATCCACAGCATTGACGGCAGTAAAATTTGTCAACTCTTAATTAGAACAGTCCCCCCAAGATGATTGTGAAAAATTGCTCTCAATCCTATATAGCGATTACAATGAAGAACAAAACAGCATTTTTGCACTGTACTTGTTTTACCGCAAACCAGCAAAGGGTTCTTCCAAGTTTTCTCAATAAATACGCAGTTTCCGACCGTCTTCGAGCAAGGCAGTGCTTCTCTCCCACCCTTTCCCCTCTATTCTCACCCCACCCTCACACTCGACAAACTTTTTATGCTACAGTAGCAATTTAAGGGAGTGGGGGGTATATAATTTTTACCTGTGTGTAGTGTGTTAGACTTGTCATTAGTTTATCTTTTTCGCAGAGTTATTGCAAGGTGCGGAGGGGCGAAGCACACAAGGTAAAGGTACGACGCGAGGCGTTGGGGGGGGTTGGGGTAAGAGGTTGTGGGAGGGAATGACGTCATAGGCTCCCCAACCACCCCTTTCCCTAACTCCTCTCCCGGGGGGTTGGCCGCCCCCTGCCACCCCCCAAAACAAGCGGCGCACTCGCGCTTGCGCACCTACCACCTCCTCTCCCTGGGGGGGTTGGGGAGGCCGCAGCCGCCCACAGAGCGCCGCCCCCGTCTCGCCGCCCCCACCCACATGCACGCCCCCCGTGCTTCCGCCCCCACTTCGCGCACCTCCACCCACGCCACGCCGCTGTAGCGACCCCAAACAACAAAAAGCCACGACGCCAAACGCCTCTCTCCGTGCGCGGTGTGGGGGCGGCGAGGCCGAGGGGTAGGAATTCACTCGAGAAAAAGCAGTGAAAAAAGCAATGAAAAAATCAGAAAAAATACAAAAAATCAGAAGATATCAAGGATTTATAAGAATCAATAAAAAGCATAGATTATCATAAAAAAATATCAAGAAAAATGAAGGAAAAAACAGACAAATTGGCGTACGCCTGACCGTCGTTTGGTCCGAGGAACGCCTGCGAACTGCGGGGTAGGCAGCCCCGCCGCACACCCCTGCGCAGCGGGCCGGCCGGGGCTGCCGGGCTGACTAGCCGCACACCACCCGCACTGCAGGGAGGGTGGAGGATAGTTTTTCCCTGTGCAAAGTCCCGTAACTTACGCGGTATAATGTTTGCAGGCTCAGTCGGTCTGCGTCGTCTACCCGAGAGGTAAGTACGTCACTCGAAAAAGGAAGAAAAAAAACAAAAAACAGCGTCCACAATAGAAATAAAAAATAAAATAAAATCGGAGAGAATAAAGCTAAGCCAGTGTACGCTTGAATTCATAAGTGAAGTACCCCTCGCGTCGACCTCCCCCAGCTCGCACGGCGGAGTGTTCCGGTGTAGTGCGGTGCTCGGCCGGACAGACAGGCCCGACGGCACCGCCCACGCCGCGAGATCAGACACGGCATCGCTCTACTCTACCGCTGGGGAGGAATGGGGGGAAAGGGGAGGGGGCAAAGGTCAAGCTGTAAAACCCTCTCTCCACGCGGATACAGGACTTCCTCGCTCAAACAACGGCGAAACATCATCGAACTTACTACTTCTCGTCCAGTTGGATCGGGGAGGGAGAGAGGGAGGGGAGGGGAGGGAGGAGCTGCCAGACAAACATAGCCCAAGAGTTAAGTGCCTCTTCGCCGATTAAACCTACCACCGAGAGGCACAGCGTCGAAATGCCTCTCTCCAGCCATGATGACTGTAATAAGAATAAAGCCGGCGAGAGAGAGAGAGAGAGAGAGAGAGAGAGAGAGAGAGAGAGAGAGAGCAGAGGACGCTAAGCTTCGAAGGGTCCTGTCGTGGGAGCTTTTCCCCGTCGCTCTTGCTACACTCACTAAACGACAGATAAAGTGGTCCACCACCTGACCCCCCCCCCCCTCTCTCTCTCTCTCTCTCTCTCTCTCTCGCTGGCCGGCTCCTCGGAGTTACGCGATCCTCTGAGCGCAAGCGCAGCGCGCCTCTCTTAATCTGGAGCAGAGAGCGACGGTCAGGACGAGGGCGGGGCGGGGGTATTGTCAGACCACAGACACACAAATCTATATATCCCCCCCCCCCTCTTTGCCTCCCTTCCATCCTCCACGGTCTGTTTCTTGCGCTATTGCGTCATATTTCTTACCCGAAACTGGTCGGCGTATATTCCCTTTGTGGTTGTTGTTGTTGAAGGTTTGTTCTTGTTATTATTTATGATCATGTCGGGTCAGCTTCAATGGGCGCCCGGCGGGCGGGGTCGTTCAGTTAACCGTCACGGAACAAATGTCGGGAGGGTTCCACTATTGTCATTCATTCATTAATGTACCGCGATCAACGTGGCATTTGTGTGCATTGCACCACTCAAAAGTAAAACTCGGTAACGAATAATTAAATAATAAAAATACGACCTCGAAAGAAAACGGAGTCATTGGTGGGGTACGTTTCGGACGAGTTTTCTCGAGCAGGATGTGTTGCCACCACTTAACATTCACACTTTCACGGCGCGAGGGGGGCGGTCCGACGCCGTCCGGCCGCACCGGGGACCGGGGACTAGAGCTTCTGGCGCTAGAAAAACTAATCGGCTTGACTAACTTGTAATCACTGTTTACCGTTTTTTTAAAAACTTTTAACGTGACTTGACTGGTCACGACACAGCAGTTTGCCCTGTCAAACATTCTGGACAGGCAAATTTTCCCTTAAATACAGGAGAAAAAAAAAGTTTATTTAGGGTCAATGTCACTGATTCAAGGCTAATTTCAAGAAAATTTCTTTGTTTCAAGGAAACAATTTCTTTTTGCAGTGTACCTGGCGCGCATACGCGCGCTGTCACGGGCGCCGCAAACTAACCAGGCTAATAAGAGACGAGCCTCGTCTGCGAATAATAACCTGCGAGGATCTATAATCAAGATCCCCATCTCATCCCCATCACCACGGCGCCTATCCTAGCGTACTCGAGCCCGCTAAACGGCTGCGCGACGAACCGCGCGACCCAGAGGATTTGGAGAAGGGGGCGGGGCTGGTATGGCCTCCAGGACTCCAGGGATACCCGCAAGGACTCGCTAGGGAAAGGAACAAACTTCTACCATCCCCCACACGCGGCAAAAATAATAATAATAGTAG